AGAAGTAGAAGTAGAAGTGGTAGTAGAATCACACCCTGCCGGCCTCTTGGACCGCCCTTGAAGGCGGCTACAAACCCCCCCGGAGCTGAGAACGGGATCCGGCGAGGACGGCACATAGAAAAGGGCTCAAGAGAGTCGGCCAGGGAAGGGCTTGAGGCTTAGGGCTCCAGGGTTTAGGGTTTCAGGAACTTTCAGGGCTGAGGTCTTGGGGTTTCAGAACCTGTTTTGATCATGCTTCGGTTACAGAATGAAGCGACAGTTGTAGGGTAGCAGGCCCTGCACACGGTGCTCACGTCAAAACCAGGCGCTTCGTAAACGCTCACAGCACAACGGTCGAACTCCGTGTGCACATCAGCGTAGCATTCCCAAGCGATCTCATGAAAGCAGTCCCAGGGCTCAATGTGAAGCTAAAATCCGAATCTCTGAATGCGTGGGTCTGGTCACTCCCTGTCGATCTGGTAGGTTGCCATCTGGAACTGAAGGAACGCATGGTGCCTCGGGTCTGCAGATGCCGCAACAACGAAGGAACGAACAGGGAAGCCTTTATCTCCCGGCGGGGCACTGGCAAAGTACCAAAAACAGGAGAACGCAGATTGCACCCCTCCTTCAGAAGGCCTGCAGCCTTTATTGGTCTCGAAAGGTCGTTCGGCATGGCGTCAAAGTTGCCGCTGTCATCGTGGTCGCGCACCCCTCCTCCCCCCAACTCGTTCCCAAGTCTCCTCCTCCTGCTTCTACTACAGCAGGATCAGCAGGGCAAGGGGCTTGGGCCTTCAGGGGCCTTTGCTGCAGCCATCACGAACTTCGCTGCTGCTGATCCTTTGTAGGTGCATACTTACTGACTTGAGAATTCGATTGAGGTATCGAACTGTGGCCCCGGTCCTAGCGGTTGGCCTCCACCACCCCCCCTCCGTCTGGGCCTGAGTGACAGCCTGAGTGTGTTCCCTGTCTCAATCTGGCTGAAAAGCACGGCCGCCATATGACCAAAGTACTGGCCACGTCTAACTATCTTCCAGTAAAGGGCACAAACTGCAGGCGATATGCGATGCACATCTAAGGACAGGCAAAGGTTCTTTCAATATTTGTCCCAACACGCCAAACCCCCTAAACCCTAAACCCTAAACCCTGGACACCACTAGTCTCCCTGGTTCTTAGTAAGCAATGGGGGAATGGATCCCTATGATAGCCCCCAAAGGTCCCCTGTAGTAGTCCTCAAAACCCATTCCTCCATTCCCTACTAAGAACCAGTCACTAGTGGACATTGGACATGCGTACCAAGGCACAAGAAGCACGTGGCAGTGAGAATCAGGCCAGAGCTCATCTGGTCGAGCCTGGTCAAACGTCTTGCCTCTACTTTGCACTTAAAACTTAAGGTTTTGGGGCTTTGAAGGCTTGGGGAGTTAAGACTTTTGGGGTTCAAGGTTTTGGGGCTTTGAAGGTTTGGGGAGTTAAGACTTTAGGGGTCTAAGGGTCTAGGGTCTACCAGAGTCGGAGGGTGCGCAGCCGAATTGCGCGGACTGGACTGGGAAGCGCACCGATGGATGAATCCAAAGCCGCTGTCTGCAGACCGCGAGATCGGGAACTGCTCCTTTCCAGCAAGGCCACCACGACTTTCATTGTGCGACCGATGGCGGCCGAGGATCTTACTAACATTCTGCAATCGCATAAAGATGAGCAAGTGTGGCTGTCGTAGCCTACGCCATCCCTGGCGAAGTTTCAGGATGCATAACACCTACATATCACGGTGATCTCGTGGTCCTCACTGCTGCTGGCTGCCAGGAATGACGATAGCAGGTAGAACCGTGTGACCTGGAAAGACAGCACGCACTCCCCCTTGCAAAGCAAATGCGCAAGAATCGCAGGGAAGACCGCTGGGCTGGGGAACAGAATGCTCGCTCCCCGGCAGTGGGGTGAACCGTGGTAAGGCCGATGCTGGTGAGATTGGCACTCCAAGCTGTGAGACATCGTAGACATCCGTCTCCCAACCAGCAGGTTTCATCAACACCTGCCGCTGCACGAGAGCGGGAGATTTAGTCTATGTATCTCACATGGAGGGCACCCCGAAGTATTTAATCACTGAGCTTGTAGGTGAATGGCGAATATATCAAATCAAACATCCGTGGGGCAGGGCTGGTGCAAGCACTGTGCTTGATACAATGAGTAACTCCAGGGAAACTTGCACACCGGTCGCTGACCATGAGCTCTGTAAGGCGCCGGCAATGAAGCCAGGTGCCTGCCAGGACATGCAACATATACCAGCTCAAGCATTCGCCACTTTGCTTCAACCAACACCGCATCGTCGCACATAAGAGAAACCGGCCATGTTTATGATGCTGCACGATGCGTCAGCCATGACAGAATGCCCTACGCAAAGAAGTCAGTGAGTGCTGCCAAGGCGCATTAACAACGACGCGTGGCTCTTGGTGTCCAAGAGGCGTCGGGCCCAAGCTACGAACAGCGGGCCTGGGCAAGAGCAACTTGAGGTTGACGATTCGCTGCGATGTCAACTGGATGTTACATTGGTTTTTGCAGCGTTACTCTAGGATATGCAATTACTCAATGTTGCTGCGGCGGCTTGCCACAACCCACAAGTGGTCGCACAAACCAGCTGCTCGCACAGGCATAGAAGGAAACGGGAGATGCCCGGAGCCAGCATAGCCTGCGTTCGCATGCCGCGTTTTAAGACCGTGCCTGAGAGTGATGGGGGGGAGGTATGTAGGTGTATTCGAACTACTCTTGCCAATGTTGTGATTATTGTTCTCTCTTCTCCTGTCACCGCGACCTCCTCGTCAAAACAACTCCGTCTGGATCCGCCTGCATGATTCCCCATGAATCGCGACCGAGGCAACCTCGAAAACACTGGCAGAATCGGCCGAGAACTCCTCCATCTGCCAGCATCCGAACTGAAGAGCTGAAGTTCAACCCTTAACCGCGACCCCGACTGCTAGAAGCTAAACCCGTTACAAAAACCCCAAGCTGATCCAAGTGGTCGGGAAAGCCAGGTGTAAGGCTTTCTTGTGCTTCAGGTAGACGTCAACTCCCGGGGCTCTGGCCACAGCAGCGGCACGCAGCCCTGCAGTTGATCCTCAAGAAGGCTTTAGGCGTGTAGAGTTGTTAAGGTCATGTGTACCCATAGGCTCCTAAGTAGTTCCTTTTTGTGGTTTATATTTAGGATCCTATATAAGGTAAGCCCAAAAAAGAACTAAGGAGCCTATGGGTAAAGTCTCGGATTTGAATTTGGGTCCAGGGTTCCCAGGGTTTGGGATGATGATCTTGACAGTTTTTAAACCTTGCAGGGAGCTTGAATGCTGGGCACCCCGGACCTAAACCCAATGCCTAAGCCCCAAACGCAGATATCGGAACCCCCAGGATTCTCTATTATTGCGAAACCGTTGTGGGAGAGCGAAGGTCCTTCTGGAGGCCTGGGAGCCCTGACGGATGATGGATCGATCAAGCTCTCGGCTGGCCTCTAAGCCTCAACTTAATGTTTTTTTTTTTTTGGGGGGGTCCTTATTGTTGCAATCAATAATAGTCTTCCCGAAAGTGGGTGGGCTTCAAGTACGTCGTATGTATGTGTCTGCTTTGGCCCCTGGGAAAAAGCACAGGCTAGTCGTGCAGTGCGTGTCCGACTGCTTGGTGCTGTTGCTCCGGGCAATAATGAGCCAATGTGTAATGATAAAAAGACTCTGACAGATACTTCATCAAGTGAGTTGGAGGGAACAGCAGTCTCCGGTTTTAGGTCACGAGAATGGCGTTTCGCTGCACGGTTCAACCCATGAAAGGGGATACCCATTGACCATTCTAACGTCATTCTAGTACTGATCTTGCCACAACATGTGCAGATC